CCTTCACTTCGAGAAGGCTGGATTGTCGTACATGCAATGTAGAGATGCCTGCACTTTAATGTCAAAAAGTTTAGCAGTGATGCAAGCAGGTTTCAAATGTTATTGCAGCAGTAATTTGAGCATAGCTGGTAACATCCCAGTGAAAGATTGCAAGAAAGGCCATTACAGATCCAACCTTATATTTGATGACTGCCTCATGCTTAACAATTTTTGTGAAGAAATTGAGAATTCTTCGCACAGCACTAGATTAACTACCAAAATTAACCACACAGATACAACGGAGACTTTGGGAACCATCGTCATCATCAACCCTTCCAACGAACAACCCACAGCCACATCTAGCGAAGAGACGGATGATTATGAATTCTACAAAGAAAAGTTGATCATTGCAGCCAGTGTGAGTACGGCCACCTTTCTGTTAATGTTAGCTGCAATACTTGGACACATCATGTTTACAAGGAGGGATCAAAAAAGAGTAAGCCAAACCTCGAATATGAGTTCTGTGAGTTCAGGTACGAGTGGAGCCAAATCACCAGATGACATTTTGGAGAGTGTGAACAGGCAGTTAACAGAGCATGAATAAATTTTCCATTTTAATAGTATAATACTACATTATAGTTTTTAAAATTGCATATTTTTGAAATTAATTTGAAATGCTATTAATTTAAACTATGCAATTTTATCGGAAAAATTTTCAAGTTTAAGATTTTTAAATAAATATAAAAATGTACACTAAAAATGATATATATGTAAAATGTACAGTAAATATTATAAATTAAAAATCACAGGACAGTTTTATTCATGCTTCGGAGGATTTTCTGCCATGATCTATGGATATTTCCAAACATTCATACTACAATTACGTTTATCAAAATTGTTCTTATGTGATCTCTTGAAAATAATATCATTTCGATTAATATTGATCTTTAAATTGCCGCGCGTAGATAGAACACATTTGTAAATGCAGATTTGAAAGAATTTTATTTCGCAGTTACGTCATTTTTTTTTA